TTCCTAAGAAAAGGCTCTGTTTCTTGACCTCAGTTTAGGCCAAGGGAAGTAAGGAGAGGAGGTAAATTTATATGACATGATCTGCAGTCCCCACACAGATTCCTGGGAAGCCATGAAGATCCTTCAGAAGCAACTCCATGGGGCTTTTCTAGGCAATAAGGGCCTCAGCCTTGTGCAGTTTCCTGTGCTCAAGAAGGGAGCAGGAGTAGGAAATAAACCACTGCACCTGAGGGGGCCTTACAGAAAGACAGAGGGACAACTCAACAGGGACCTTTAAGGTCAGGGAGGAAACATGAAGAGAATAGCTGGATGGGGTCAGGGGAGAAATTATATCTCAAATCCAAGTAATCAACACATATTACCCCCTGACCTGACTCCCATTCCACTCTTCTGACAAATGCACATCTTCTTATAATTTAAGTGCACCTGGACTTACAGGGCAGAGACCAACGATAAAGGCAATGGACCCGGAGTTGACTAAGTTTGTCTCTTCCAGCATGGTAGACTAGATGTTTGGAACAGAATATAAGCTGTCACAGGGGGAAGTAAGACACTTTTCTTGCTTCCTTGCATTTCTAGCCTGAGAATCACACCTATTAACACTTCCTTCTTCTACCCTGGTTGTACCACTGTTTATTTTTAAGAAAGAGATTTCTAATACAGCACTATGTTGTTTTTTTTCCTTTGCTTAACTTGGCAAATGACGTGGTTCATTTGAAAAAGGGTTATTTTCTTTTTATTTCTTATTTATCTGTTTCTTTTTTAGTGGCATGATTCTCAAAATTAGCCTTTAAGAAGTTCATAAGCAAATTCAAAATTCTCCGATAATAATGGAGATACCATTAAGTCTTACATTTTAAGCAGATAACGTTTTCTAATTGGACAAATATTTTACAACTCCTTAGTAAAATAATAATCAGTATTAAGTGCTGATTATTCTTTCAGTGTTTAAAATACCTTAAGTTATCGAAACTCGATGTGTTTGTCTTCCCACTTTTAAGAAACACATTATTTGGGGGTCCAAATGCGAAGGTAAGGTGAACTGTATGAAAAAATGTTTAAAACAAAATAAGATATCTTGACCCACACATTTTAAAAGCAGCAGCCCAGTAAATAAATACAGGCATGGTAAATAAAGATCTCTGGTTATCTTCTCTATGAGGCAATGGCCAGGCGAGATGAATGAAAAAGAAATTGAGACAATGATTTTCCTATTTCACTCCCTTTCTGGACTCTCTTTGGCTCACCAGTATTTACACAAAATTTTCCCTAGTTATTACGTGAAGAGGATGGTGATGAAGACATGCTGGGACATGTTATAAAGTTTATTTCCTAACTAAGATATACTTTTGGCTGGGCAGGGTGGCTCACGCTTATAGTCCCAGCACTTTGGGAGGCCGAGGTAGGTGGATCACTTGATGTCAGGAGTGCAACACCAGCCTTGCCAACAGCCTTGTCTGTTACTAAAAATACAAAAAATTAGCCTGTAATCCCAGCTACTCAGGAGGCTGAGGCAGGAGAATCACTGGAACCGAGGAGGCGGAGGCTGCAGTGAGGCAAGATTGCACCACTGCACTGCAGCCTGGGCAATAAAGCAAGACTCCATTTGTTTCTAATGTAGATTTACATAGAAAGCTTTCAGACCATGATGCTGATCTGATACTCATGAAAAAGGGAGGAGAAGAAGCAGGATTTAGCAGGGAGAGCCTCTGATTTTGATGCTGGGCTATAAAGTTTAGTCAGATTGGGAGCCTCAGAGCAAAGATGACTCATAAGAGGAGGCTCACATTGGGCAGAAATGGCCAGGCCCTAGGATATGTGTCATGTTTGGTCACTGACTGGTGCCTTTCTTCATAGTGGCCTCAGCTCAAAAGCTGAGTTGGATCCAAAAGTGCTGGAGCTGGAGGCTAACGGCTAACTGTGCTCCGTGCAGGTGAGCAGAGGTAGGCTTTCCCATGAAGCACTGCACAGCACAGATCAGCGTGCTTCAATGACTGAGGCAAGCACAGTTACTAGGAGGTAAAATCTTTTAAAAATTAATTAGGAAGAGTCATTGAGAAAGTAATTGGCAGTGGGGAGGGGGATTGGGAAGATGTTGGCCAAAGGATACATTTCAGTTAGACAGGAGGAATAAGTTTAAATCTACTGTACAACATGGTGACTACAATGATTAACGATGCATTCTGTACATGAAAATTGCTAAGAGTAGTAGATTTTAAGTGTTCTCACCACAAAATATAAATATGTGAGCGAATGCACATGTTAGTTAGCTTGGTTTAGTCATTCCATGATGTATGTATATTTCAAAATATCATGCTATAGTATACATCATAAATATATACAATTTTATTTGTCAACCTAAAAAATAAGAAATAAGCCAGGCACCATGGCTCACACCTGTAATCCCAGCACTTTGGGAGGCCAAGTCAGGCGGAACGCCTGAGGTCAGGAGTTGGAGACCAGCTTGGACAACATGGTGAAACTCTGTCTTTATTAAAAATAGAAAAAGTGGCCAGGCATGGTGGCGGGCACCTGTAATCCCAGCTACTTGGGAGGCTGGAGCAGGAGAATCGCTTGGACCCAGAAGGCAGAGGTTGCAGTGAGCTGAGATTCTGCCATTGCACTCCAGCCTAGGCAGCAAGAACAAAACTTCTTCTAGGAGGCGGGCAGATCACGAGGTCAGGAGATCGAGACCATCCTGGCTAACACGGTGAAACCCTGTCTTTACTACAAATATAAAAATTTAGCCAGGTTTGGCAGTAGGCACCTATAGTCTCAGCCACTTGGGAAACTGAGGCAGAAGAATTGCTTGAATGTGGGAGGCAAAGGTTGCAGTGACCAGAGATTGTGCCACTGCATTACAGCCTGAGTAACACAGCGAGACTCCATCTCAAAAAAAAAAAGACTTCATCTAGGGGAAAAAAAAGAAAGGAAGAAAGGAAGAAAGAAAGGCCAGGCGCAGTGGCTCATACCTGTAGTACCAGCACTATGGGAGGCTGAGACAGCCAGATCACTTGAAATCAGGAGTGGGAGACCAGCCTGGCTAACATGGCAAAACCCTGTCTCTAGTAAAAATACAAAAAAATTAGCTGGGCGTAGTGGCACCCGCTTGTAATCCCAGCTACTTGGGAGGCTGAGGCAGGATAATCACTTGAACTTGGGAGATACAGGTTGTAGTGAGCTGAGATTTCACCACTGCACTCCAGCCTGAGCAACAGAGCAAGACTGTCTCAATAAAATAAAATTTAAAAAAAATAATAAAAAATAAATTAATCGACCTCTTTAAAAATACACAATTCTTTTGTTTCTCAGCTGGAAGGCATCTCTGAGCTCACACAGACCCCAACCAGACAGGAACACATGTTGACATTTATCCACATTGTTCTTGATCCCAGGCTCAGTGACTTTTTCTATTCCACATACACCATCCGGGAGACTCACATTTCCAAATGGTTACCCAGAGCTTCACCCTCCTGGCATCCCTACCCCACCTCATGCACTCTGTAGGTCAAACCATGCTGAGAAGCAGCTGCTCAGTCTCCCTATCTTTCCTAGCATCCTTGCTTCCCATCTGTTTTCTATTTCTTTGGTAGATGGATGACTACTTAGGCTGAAACACTAAAAGACACCGACTGATAAGAGCTAAATGATCACCTGATTTGTGTCTACAGAACTTAACCCAAATAAATGGCTGGTTCATAGGGGAATTACACACACACACACACACACACACACACATCTGTGCAGGCCAAGGTTGGTGAAATTTGGGGCAGAGGGACATGCATTTACCCTTTATACTGAGAAAACATCACCTCACACTATAGCTAACGTTCGGGCACAGTTTTTACTCTCAAAAGGCACTCATTGTGACCTTGGCCAATGGGTAACTCCTATTTATCAGTCTATCAGGAAATGTTAATACTCTGGTGGACTTTGTCTTTCTATACTTTAGATTTTCTACTCTAGACAAAGAAGCAGTAACAGTAATAAAATAACAGTGACTAAGTACCTGCTGGATTCAAAGAGTGGTATTTGTTGGTACTTTAAGTATACCATGGGTTTGATGTAGTTGTTCTGCAAATTACATTCTATAATTCTATTTTACAAATCAAGTTCAGAAAAGTTAAGTGCCCTAAAATAAATTAACTACCAAATAGTAATAGTTGAGCCTGATTCAGTTTAGGTCTACTTGACTCCCTAATCTTTTGCTTAATTCTTTCTCATCCCACAATGCACAATAAAATGCCAGGGTCTACAGTTTTCAACTTGAACTCCCCATCTGCTGGCATTAGTACTGTCTAACAGTTGCCATGAGCAAGTGTAGGAATTATAAGGAAAATAAAATTGGTCATGAGTTGATCATTGCTGAAGCAATTATGCCTGCCCGTTGCACCTACTCAAATTAGGACAGTGAGGGAGGAGTCATTATACTAACCTCTCTGCTTTTAATGTATTTGAAATTTTTCATAATAAACAGAGGCTGGCAGAAACTCCTATATGTGCCATAAAGACATTCAATAGTTACAAATGGCTCAGCACCTAGCCAGGGCATCAGGAAGGTCCCGCCTCAACCCAACTGGCCACAGACACAAACACACACACACAGTTACACAGTTTGAAACACCTTCTAATATAAACAATGCAGATATCAATTTGTCATGAAGATGCAAAACAGAAGTCTAGAGATTTCAGCATTTCCAACACGTCAGCATAAGCAAGTGTTCCCTCTCCATGTGTGAATCACAGCATTCAGCTCCATTCACTGTCTTATGTTCCTTTTCATTTGCTCAAGCCCAGCCAAGCAAAACCAGGGATCACCAGTGGGGAGAACTGCAAATGTTTGCAAATGGTGAGCAAATTAGGAGAAAATCCTAGATTTAGAGAGACATGAATTATTTTGTGCAGATATAAATAAACATTGTTCTCAGCTTAGGTTCTGTCAACACCTCAGCGCTCCAAGTAAATTCATCCAAAGATAAATGAGTTAGTGTTACTCGTACCTGATGAGCTCCAAAAACCACCTGAAGGGGCACATGCTGTACTTTGCTCAGTTTGTTTGCAGAACTCAGCCCTTGGAATACAAAGCTACCACGAAATATGCAGCCATCTCTGAAATATGTGTGTGTTTTCAGGCAGCCATAAGGGCAAAACAGCCATTTACTTTTGTTGATCCATCCTCAGATCTTGGCAGTGGTTATTCCAGGAATCCCACACTTTTTTTCCTTCACTCTCTCCAGTTTTTAATCAAGTAAGACATGCTGATGGTATGACATTTGTAAAAATACAATAAGAAAAGATTTAAAATTCCCTTATTTCTGCTATGTAGAGGTAATTACTGTGAATTTTAAATAGATGCTTCTAGAAATTTTAATGTCCACAAACTCTTCAAAATCAAAATAGAATCATTCTGTATATAACTTGCTTTGTTTATTCAAATATAGCCCATGTAAATTTATTACCTATAAATAACATCTACAACAATATTTACAATGTTTCCACATATGGATATAAAACAATTTATTCAATCAAAACATATGGTATTATTTAATAATTACTAAGAATTATCGTTGAACATTTAGGTTATTTTTCAAATTTTTGCTCCTAAAACTGAGCTTGGATGAATATTTTTATAGATAATTATTTCAACAAATTTATTATTTCCTTAGGACAAATTTTCACGAGAATGCACGAAGATGAGTGCTTTGAGACCTCTAATACAAACGACCTTTCAAAAAGAGTGAACAGATTTATACTCCCCATCATTCTGCACCCTAACAATAGTGGGTCCTTTTTAATCTTTGCAAATTCAACAGGTGGAAGACTACATCATTTTGTTGAAATTTGTATTTCTTTTATTACTAATGATATTGAAGTTTTTATTGTGTTTATTGAAAGTATAACTACATTTCTGTTCATGTAATGTTGTGCATTTATTATGTATCTCTAAGACTGTTTACATTTTAATGGTGGTATCCCCTTGTCTGTCATATAGGATGCAATTTCTTTCCTCATTTTTTTTAAGAGTTGGGGTGTCACTATTTCACCCAGGTTTTCTCAAACCCCTGGGCTCAAGCCATCCTGCTTCCTCAGCCTCCCTTGTAGCTGGGACTACAGGCACATACCACCATGCCCAGCTTTTACCTCATTTTTGATTGCTTTTTAATTTGATTTGTTATTTGGGACATGGAATTTTTAGGTTAAAAAATGCATGAGATTTTATCTCGTGAATTCTCTGACTTAAGTCATGCTTAGACTGTCTTTCTAAAACTATATTTTCTCCTATTAACTCATTTAAAAATTTTACGAGCCCAAAATACATTTTGGCATACGGCATGAGGTATGGCCATAGTATTTTTCCTCCTAAGTAATGGTTCTGACATCCCTCCGTTGTTTTTCATATGATCACTCTTTTCCATACTGATTTAACATGCCAGTATTAGATGTGCCATACATATATATTTGTTGGTCTGTTCTTACACTTTTCATTCTGTTCCAATGATCTTGTTATCCATTCTTGGGCAAGTACCACCAAGTTATTTTAGCTATTGAAGCTTTGTAGTAAATTTAACACATTAGTGGAGAACCTTGCCTTATCCCCTTTTATTTTCTAACTTTTCTTGTCTATACTTGTTCATTTATTCTTCCCAGGAAACTCTGAAATTGTTTTATTATGTATTGTGTCTGGGATTATGTTATAGCCATAGATTATATTGGAGAGAATTAGCATTGTTACAATATTACCTCTTCTAATACAGAAACATGGTATAACTTTCACATTATTCAAATATTTTATATTCATGGGGTGTACTCACTGTATGTTCCGTGGCTCACCTACATAGATGCCCTTGCATTGCAGTTACATTGGGGATATGTGATCAGTTCTAGCCAATGGGCTGTGAGTATAAACGGCATTTGCCAATTACGGTCAGAAGGAATCAAGAGTGACTCCCTCACACTCTATTCTTCAAGGGTGTTACCGCTGAGACTACACGTTAAGAATGCTCAAGCTGCCAGCTGGCCATCAGGACCAGATTCAGAGAGTTGTTTGGGGACTCATTTGTTACCATAGTAACAAATTCTTGGATTAGTCCCATTCCTTGTCAATGTTCTAAGTCAGAGTTTAAGACACAAAAGGAAGCTGTATGGGCCGTGACCAAGTATACCAGTGGTGGAACAGTTGAACAGATTGTGCACCTCGTTCATTGTGGCATAATAGAAACCGTTGATGAATCTTGTAACTGCAAAAGATACCAGGATTATTCTGGCTATCCTGGATGCCATTTTAAAGATCTTTCAGGCTGCCAAGAAACTAGGTGAAACTGAGAAACTTAGTATAATGATTGAAGAATGTGAAGGCTTAGACCAAATTGAAGCTCTACAAAGCCAAGAAAATGCATCTGTGTATAAGGTTTCCTGAAGCTTAATTGAGAAGTATTTCTCTGTAGAGGAAGAGGAAGATCAAAATGTGCCAGAAACTACCTCTGACGGCTGTACCTTCCAAGTTCAGGTTGGGATTCCTGGGACCTTTAACTTTTAGATCATGTAGCTGAGGCAATTCGTTGTTTACCATGTTTGGTATTTTGTCTTATTGTTTCTTTACTAAGAACTCTTTTTAAATGTGATTTGTTATTGTAGCACCTTTACACTGAAACTATACTTGAACAGTTCCAACTGTACATACTGTATGAAGCTTGTCCTCTGACTAGGTTTCTTATTTCTATATAATTTCATATTTTGCAGCATCCTGTAAATACACATTAAAGTCCCCTCTTTTCTTTATTTCAAAAAAAATGGTGAGGCTGCAAAGTGGAAGCCTCTTGGATCTTTGAGTTTCCACTTGAAGGATGGCAATCTTGAAGAGTCACCCAGCCTTCATTGGGCTTGAAGTGAGTGGAAAATAAACCTTTTATTTATGTCAGGACATTGAGATTTGGGGACTTATATGTTACCATAGAATGGTCCCTTAGTAAAGGTTGCAAATTGCTTATTCAGTTTGTTTCCAAATATGGATATTTCTGTTGTTATTGTGACAGGAACATTTTTCAATAGTTCTAAGTAACTATTGCAAATATGAGAAGAGCACTTTTGAATATAGAAATAATATATCTCCGCACTTATTTCCTTCCAATGATGGTAGAAATTCTGTGATGAATAAAGAATATGCCAATTCCTCAGAGTGGTCCTCTTCTTTTGAAGTATTGAATTTTTTGTGTTTGCCTATCCTGCCTGTATGGGGAAAAGAGGGAGGATCTACGTTTATCACGCTGAGAGTGTTGGAATAAGTTCTTTCAAAGATTAGGTCTTATCTTTCTAGCTCAGATGGAGGAATAGGGAGGTTTAAATAATATAGTGACATAGACTTTGTGGTAGGCAGAATAATGGTCCCTCAAAGATGTCGACATCCTAATCCCAGGATCCAGTGCTGTGTTAGGCTAAATGGCAAAGGGGAGTTAAGATGGCAAATGGAATCAACATTGCTAATCATCTGACCTTAAAAGAGAGAGATTATCCTGGATTATCCAAGCCGGGCCCAGTATAATCAGAAGAGTCTTTAAACGTAGAAGAGGAGGGTGGAAGATGAGTCAGTGTCAGGGTGATGCAGCAGGAGATGGATTTGACCAGCTATTACTGGCTTTGAAGAGGAAAGGGACTGCAAACCAAGGAATGCACATGGCAGCCTTCAAAACTGGAAAAGACAAGCAAATGGCTTCTTCCCTAGAGCCCCAGGAGGAACAAAGCCCTGCCATTACCTTAATTTTTAGCTGTGAGACTCATTTAGGATTTCTGATGACCGGAACTGTAAGATAACACATTTGTGTTGTTTTAAGCACCAAGTCTGTGGTGCTTGTGATAGCAGCAATAAGAACCAAATACTAGCTTTGAGTCAGATCTAGATTCAATGCTCAAACTCATCAATCAGTAATTATTTGAAATTAAACACCTTTTGAAAAACCACTCTAAACCTTTGTTTCATTGCATATACCATATGTATAATATCTACTTCATAGTAGACATTGGCAATCCTGGTAATAATAGTAGCAATATCATCAATAATAGTGGCTGCATTTGCTAAACTCTAAATTCTGGTTACAGAGCCAAGTAATGTATATACTGGGCATAACATTGTTAGCTCAAAACTTTTTCATTAACTCATCAACACTCAAAAACAAACACTTGATCTAGGTACTACTATTGTCTCCATTTAAAGATGAGTTGAGGCACAGAAGTTAAATATCTTGCCAATAAGTTAAAGAGCTAGTACGCGGAGGAGCTTGTATTTAAATGCAGGGAGAGTTCAGAGCCCGTGCTCTTAAATGGAGGCTATCACACTTTGATTTACCATAGTATTCCCCTATACCAGACAGGAGGCCCAATTTGCCTAGGATGTCAGGGAGGGAGCAGATATATGGAGTAGGACTATCATTCCTCTGCCCAAGACCTTCTATTCCCGTTTGTAGTTCTAGCTCAGTTAGCTAGAACTCTAGGCAATGTTTCAGAACAATTCTCCCCAGCACCCACCCACTTCCTTAGTTTTAATGCAGTTTTGCAACTGCCCTGCTTTACTCAGCGGGGAATTCATTCCAAGGGTAAACTGCAATTGAATGCTTCAAGTAGCTTGTGTTGGTTCCAGATGCACTCACCCACAGATTCTGACTGTCCTCGCTCCAAGTTTCAGGCGAGAGGTATTGGTTAAATTTGCTTAGTGGCCCTTCTTCTTTCTCCCTAGATGAGTTTCACCTTATGTATGTCATGAATCACAAATCAATGCACTATTTTCCCAGCCTAACCTCATCTATACTCTAATTTGCAGAAATTCTTAAAAATTAAAGCCAAGTGGGCGATACCTGGTTTCAAATAGTTTTCTTTTTTTTTTTTTGATACAGAGACTTTGGGAGGGAGAGTTAATTAAATGTGCACATTCAAACCATTATTTTAAATTAGTGGTCCTTTCATAGAACTTTTCATGAGAATTTGGAAAGCACTAAGTGCAAACCCAGATGTCTGCTGAGGGAAATGGTTATCTTCTCTGGACCTTCTACCATCCTCTATATGTGGAAGGGAGTAGTACTGCAAAGATTAATTTTCCCACTGAAACTTTCCTTAGAAAATGGAAATGATTTAAAAAAATGGAAATGATTAGAGTCAGTTTCAAATAACATTTTTCCCTCAGTTGCATAAGTCAGAGTGCTAGCCAGAGATCATTTTCAGCCCATGTTCTTTTTGTGTTCCTGTCAGTTCCTGGTTTTGAAACACCCATTCATAGAAGAGATCTTATCTACGGAAAAAAGTTCTTCACTTTTCTGGGGCAAAATATTAAAGGATTTTTTTCATAAAGCTAAATGATTTGATTTAAATAGCCATCAGTTTACATATTTTTAAAATATTTTTTGGCATTCAAATAAGCTGTCTTTTATGAAACGATTATAACACTAGATGGTAGTTTGACTTGTTTTAAACACCCTTACAATGTTAAAAGTTGGCAATACTATGTTGGTTTCAAAATGATTTTTGACGTTTTTTTCTGGTCTATATAATTCCAAACCCTATGAACCACTGGAATGTATCTTTGAATAGTTTTTCAACAAGTGGAATATTTTCTAAGCCCTTGCATTTTTGAGAATGCCTGCCTGTCCTACCGAAAGACAAATTGCTGGTTATAACATTCTTAGCTCATAACTTTTCCCTCCACAAAACGGTGGAGCCATTTTGGCACCTAACTGTTGCACAGGAAACATCTGAAACCAACCCAAAGTTCTGTTCTCTCGTAAATAAATTTTTACTGAATAGTTGAAAGATTTCTTTCATTTATTACACTTTCTACCTTTCTCAAGGCATTGTACACATTTTTGCCAACCACATGCCACTGAGATGGAGTATGTAGTGGCTGATGGCCAAGTGGCTAGATTCCAGCATCTCCTAAGTTCAAATCTAGTTTCCATACTTTACTAGCCACTGTATCCTTGGACAAAGCTATGCGTTGAAGTGTATCTAACCAAAAGAAATGTTGATGTTCTAATTCCCAGTATCTGTGAATGTCATCTTTTTTTTTTCTTTTTTTTTTGTGAGACAGGGCCTCACTCTGTCACCTAGGCTGGAGTGCAGTAGTAGTAGGATCATGGCTCACTGCAGCCTCTGTTTCCTCGGCTCAAGGGATATTCCTGCCCCAACCTCCCAAGTATCAGGGACTACAGGCACTCATCACCATTCCTACCTAATTTTAAATTTTTTTGTAGAGATATAATCTCACTATGTTACCTAGGCTGGTCTCAAACCCCTTGCTCAGGGTATCCTCCCAGCTTGACCTCCCAAAGTGCTGAGATTACAGGTATGAGCCACCACACCCGACTGGAATGTGATCTTAGTTGTAAATAAGGTCCTTACAGATGCAGTCAAACTAAAGTGAGGCTATTCGGGTGAAGTATCACCTAGTAAAGACTGGTGTCCTTTTAAGAGGAGAGAAATTTGGACACAGACAACCAGGGAGGAGAACACCATGGCAAGACAGTCACAGAGGGAGGACAGCCACATGAAGATGGAGGCAGAGACTAGAGTTTTGCTGCCACAAACCAAAGAATGCCTGGGGTTACCAGAAGTTGCAAAAGGTACAAAATGATCCTTGCTGGAGGTTTCTGAGGGAGCATGGCCCCTCAGACACTTCTAGCCTGCTATGTAGTGGCTGATGGCCACTACACAGTGAGATGAGGGAATCTGTAGGGATCGCTCCCGTGTGAGACCCCTGGGAAATGGGCCTCGCCATACGGTGAGCTTGAGCCCAGACACAGATCCCTGGTTGGGGGAGTCGAGCTGAGGGAAAGCACGAACCGAGAGAGGGACTATGTTATTCTAAATAATTAACAGACATTACTTTATGGATATGAGGACTTGGGAGGCAATGTGTCCACTTTCGGCTTCTTATGGTTTATTGCTTGTGTTCATTTTGAACCCTTGTTACCTTCATTGTAAGATATTAACTTAAGTATTTACACTTGGTAACCTACCGTAACTTGCTGGGTGTAACTGTAACTTACTTACCATAGCTTACAGGGAGTAACTGTAACTTACTTCTCATAGCTTATAGGGTGTAACTGTAACTTACTTC